CTCACCTTCTCAAACCCTCTGAAGGTGGCATATCCTCCCTAAAGTAATACCCAAAGGACTCCTGAAGGTGCCCTAGGCCTGGGCTCCAGTTCCCCTGCCTTCCTTCCTGGCTTCTCCAGCCCTTGCTCCACCTGCACACATGACACTGCTTCTGTTAAGTACACTCAGTCTGTGATGCTGTGTCCCCTATGCCAGGAATGTTGATGTCCCGGCTGGTGACATCACTCCCTGCCCTCCTCTGGTTTACTTAGCCCCCTCCCTTCACCTTGGGCTTCCTTACCTTGCTTTTGACTTCTTCACAGCAGCCAGCATTGCCTCATTTAATATTTATAGTTTACTTGTTTATGGACTTTCATTCTCTGTGGAATTTCACCTCCTCCAGGGCAAAGATTTGTATCTGTTTGGTTTGTGAGGAAGCCCTTGACCTCAACAGGTCATTCTGTGGGAGCATAGCAAAGGTGTTCACTGGGGGACTCTATCTCAGTTTGGTAGCTGCTATGCATCTCTGACTTTTGGATGGAAGAGAATATAGCTCAAGCAAGCCAAGCAACTTGGTCAAGCTCTCCCAGATGACTGGGACTGAAGCCAGGGTTGAGATGCCTCTGAGGCCTACAGACCTCCACATTTAGGACTTTTCTAGCAGATTCCCTCCAGTACAATTATCCTTGCATGGAAACAATTCAATGCCATGATTAAGGTGTCCTAAATGTTTTTGGACATCTATATTCCAATGTCCTGTGTATGCAATAACTACTGCGTTATACAGACATGCTTCTGTCCTTTGGCTCATGAACATACTGCCGTGCCTCCCACAATCTTACCCACATGCTGTTAGTTTCCAAATGAGGTAATGGATGTCACTTCCTAAACCTAGAGACCTCTGGTCTCTGAGTCTTCTTACTTTTGAATACAGCAGGGCCACCCAATGGAGAAATGGATAGGCCCATGGATGCTCTGGCTGGCTAGTCATTAAAGAATGAAAACTGGTTTCTTTTCTATCTCTGAAGGTCAATCAGTTTGAGTTGCTGAAGGGTGGACCCTTCTAATGTGCCCAGAACTGTCGTGGGTTGGGTGTCACTATGCCCTCTGGGGTTGTAATTTAAGGGAAAACTGGTTCCCTGATCTATGGTATATTTGAGTATTCAAGGCTGGCACTCCACTGAATATGGAGCCCTCAGAGATACATGGGGGCTGCCTGTCCCGTGACTGGGGAAACTGGGCAGACACCTGAACACTGGAAAGAGGATACTGAGAAAGTAGAGTCAAGTCCCCAGGATGGACTAGCTGGAGGATAGGTAACACTAACTGAGCAAAGCCCATATTTTGCCAAGTTTTTGGACAATGTAATCCCTGGGTTATTATGTAGCCAAGGAAGGGGAAGTTTCCCCACTTGAGGCCTTATGGGAAAAAAAATGCTATTTCCTGTCCACCACAATGGATTTAACTGTACTTGAAGCAAGTGGACTTTTTTCACTAAATATTTTTTCCTATCTATTTTTCAATCTTACATGTGTACAGGAAATAATATTGCATATAAATAGTTTATTCACAACTCTTTTAAGCACTAAACTACTAGAAAGAAGAATTTATACCTCCTACCCAGTAGTATTGGGCATAAATATCACATCACAGATATTTGGTAGAGTTTTTTGTTTTCCCCATGGACAGTGACAGTTGAGGCCCCAGGAACACAGCCCATGGGGTGTGAGGGGAGCAAGAAGCTGCTGCCAGATGGGTTGTGGGGCTGGGGATCCCCACCAGAATTTGACCCTTAAGCAAGGGCTTAGACTAAACCCTTGCTTAAGGGTAGAGAAAAAGGAAAGTTCAGACAGGTCAGATGGATAGTGTGCTGGGTTTGTGTTCCCACCAGCCTAGAGATGGCCTTACTCTGCAGAGAGACATACACATACACATTTGCCCATGTACCTCCCTTGTTTCCCATGTGGGGAGTGTGGAGACATGTTTTGTCATAGGCTGCCTTTTCGAAGCAGAACCCTGACCTTCAACCTCATTCCTCTATAAGTACCTTTGACAGCCTCCTGAGGTATGGGCTGGTGGTGTCTCCTCAGCCTCTTGCTAGCATAGACCAGGCTGGGGCCTAGATCTCTGCTCCCATTCTTCTCCATTCTCAGTATACAATGTAAGCAATGAGCTGTTTGAGAATTTAACACATTAATTTGGTAAGTTTGGGTTTTAAAGAGGTGTTTACCAAGACTGGATGATTGAAATTCCAATCAGACAAAATATAAATCAATATATGATACTGTAGTCTCCCCTTATCAGCAAGGGTATGTGTTCCAAGACCCCCAGTGAATAGTGCTGGATTCCAACAAAGATTGTTTTTCTATACATATACACCTGTGATAAAGCTTAATTTATAAATTAGGCAAGGTAAGAGATTGATGATAATAACTAATAATAAAATAGAATAACTGTAACAATACATTGTAATCAAAGTTATTTAAGCTTACAAATTCATCATTTCTGGAATTTTTCCATTTAATATTTTCAGAACATGTTTGATCATGAGTAACTGAAATGTGGGAAAGTAAAACTGCCAGTAAGGTAGGAAGCTGCTGCATATGGCCAAAAAATACAGGAAAAACAACCAAGAGAAGAACCAGCTTTTGTTAAGCATGATAGGTCTGAAAGGAGAAAGCCAATGTAGTAGACTCTATATATGCACCTTAAACAGGACTCTGAGCTTCAAATGAAGCAGTGTGTTAGGGCAACTGCTGCAATTACTCTGATACCAGCAATCTCTGGGGTTGAACTCCATACAGGTCTGAGTTGCTGCTGCATTTAATTGAGAGTAATGCATAAAACTTGTTTTCTTCTCTATGAAGAATGAAACTTGTTTAGAATACCATATCTCAATTAGTCACATGGAAGCATCATTGAAATAGCCAGCTTCCACAGCAGGTGGTTCAAATTACTGTCAACCCCTATGAATTGTTTCATGCTTGTGGATCAGTCATTGCTGTGGAGGTGAGACAGAGCAGGGATGTGGGTGCCAATCACTGAGGTGTTTTTGATGGCTGTGCAGAAGCTGAGATAATAATTTGTCCACAGTCACAATGTGAGTTCCAATACAGTGATTGGGGAGACAGACACTGTTCTAAAAATCAAGCACACTGTTAGTGAGGCTCCCCAGGTCTTATGACTGAGATATGACTGCAAATGTGCCCAACACAAAAAAGTCCCATGAATCATCATCCCTTTCTCAGTGTAGGTGCATCCTGCACCTCTCTCTTGCAGCAGATGGATGAGTATTATTCTGACAAGCAATGGCTTAAAACCAAGAATACACAGAAGCTCCAAGCTGGTCAAAACACCCAACACATTACTTTTTGGATGTTTCCCATTTGCCCTGAAGATCTACACTCTACCCTTCTGCATGCCATTCTCCACCCAGAAGGTGACATGGACCACATCAATGAAATCTCTGCCATTTATCCTACTAGTGAACGGCACTGGTCAGAGCTTGCATGGTGGAAGAAGAATGTGGTTGGAGTCTTATTTCTCCATCATTTTCTCTCTCTCCAAAGCCACAGCTCTCTCCATACAGCTACTCTCACCCCTTGCCTCTCTGATCTGCACAAGGGTGGCAATGGCCTCTCCAGGGCTACTGCCTGGCATGGCACTGTCGATCACTGGTATCCACAAACCCTGCCCATTCCTCAGCAAACAGTCCCTTTACAGAATCCCTTCATCTCATTAGGTATTGTGGGTCATCTTTCTTTCCTACTAGGGTCCCGACTAGTCCACCCACCAATGTATAACCTGTAGATCCTTCATTACTGGATTTTTCTGAAACACTCAAAGGTGCTTAGCAATTTTCATTGGGTTTTGGCCAAGAGATAAAAGAAGCTCCATTCTCTAAGAGTGCATTGTTGGCTGCAGCCCTCAGCAGAACACTCTCTCCTCTAGCCAGCTCTGCTTTCCTGTTTGTCTGGAATGTCACAATGGGGTACATCTTCAAGGGCCAGGGATCTGGAAGTGAGGCCACTCCCCAGCAGACAGAAAGAACTGGCTGAAGGCCAATCAGAATGAGAAGGCTGTGCTTCCCATCTCCAGCAGAAATGGTTCCCACGGATTGAGAACTCACTCTATGTCCACTGCCAGTGCATGCTGGCAGGTAAGGACCTCACCATGAGGTGCGTGGCTTGGGAAGAAGGGCACATAGTCTTCTATATTATGTTTGTAAAGTTATGAATGTAGTTTTGCTATAATTTGTACTGCAAATGATCAAGAGTGGATAGGTATATAGCTTTGCCTCAAGAAGAACCTTTTTCTGTTGCAGACATTGGGTTTGAACTACTTACTTTTTCCAGAGGGACTTCAAAGAAGAGACATTTGTGTTGATCCCTGAGTGTCTTCCTTGTTGGAATGTTAGGGTGAGGAGGAAATGTTCAGGAGAAGGAGACTGAACTTAGGCTTTGCTTCCTCAACCCAGAGGCCAGAAAGGCTGAGAGGGCAAGGGACTGACAGCTACATGAGGCATGTGCCACTGAGTACTCAGAGAGCTTCACCAGGCCAGCTGTGTTCTCACCTTTGCAGATGGACAGCTGAGGCCCAGAGAGGTTACACAACTTGCTCATGTACATGGGAATAGACAAGAGTCTCCTATTTTTCTTTTAAGCTCAGGATCTTTCTTATCTTTTGTTCATCATCCATGGAGGAGCAAGATGGGTAAAAGAGAGAAGCAAGGCAGAGAAGCATGGAGTTCTCTTGGAGGAGTGGCTGGGATTTAGGAACAAAGGAAACAACTCAGAAAATATCAGCAAAGCATAACCTGCTCATATGCCCTACATCCTGCCAGCCCAGGTGGGATCACATTCAGTCTTTACAGAAGGTTTGGTACCAGCACTGAGAGTCCTGATGGATCACTGCTGGGAACCTCAGAACATGCATCTCCCTCTTGCTCACTGAGTGGGTTAGGCCAGCTTGCTCAGTCACTGAACCTAAGGAAAGTGAGCCTGATGGCAGAAGCAACTCACCTGCCTGCTCCAAAGCTACCATCGTTGCCTGCTCTATCAAGTCCCGCTCGATGAAGCTCCTGAAGTCCTCACTGTACACACTCAGATCTGGCAACTGGAATGTGTAGATTGGCATCTCCAGAGGGAACTGTTCATTGTTGCATTCATTTGCTACGTGTGACCGGGCCAAGGAGACAATGGCTGAGCTGGCGTGAGAAATCCCCCGGGAAAGTCGCTTTTCTGCAGGGAAGAAGGAAAGACAGCCAGAGTAAGTCTAAGTGTGGCTCTGTGTACATGCAAATACATGAGAACACACAAAAGTCCTCATGCATGCACACATGACACCCAAACACATGTGTATGCACACACCACACACAAATTTATACATAGGCACACAGATATACACAAGCATATTTCTACCCTGCAGGCCCTTCTGCTGTGCAACTAAAATTTCCACCACCCAGTGTGTCACTTCCTCATGCCTAGCACAGAAGCGCTCAGAGGTGAGCTGCAACTCCACTGCACAAGTGCACATTAAAATTGTCACAGGGCACCAGGCTTGCTTTTGGGTCTGTAGTTACATTTAACTCAATTCATCAGAGCTGTCCTCTCCTAGCATTGAATGGCACAAGGGTGGCTCCTTATTATTATTATTTTTTCCATTTACGTATTTAAAGAAATAAGTGACCTACTCAAGCTTTTTTGCCTGTTTCTAAGATTTTTACTAACGTTCCTCTGATAAACACCTCCCACATGAACATCCTTGGGATATAAACATGAATCTTTACTTGTGTTTCTTTTCCACCTGTAAATACTTATGTCACAGCATTATCAGATATGATGGTCCACTCTGGTCTTGTTCTAGTCTAGGCTTTCTAACCAATGAATAGTAATGCAGTGTAGAATCACCTAAAAAGTATGCATCTTTGTTCTCTTAATGCAGAAAAGCATTTTTACTTTTTAAAGCCCTGTGTTTGATGGCTACATTTAACTTAAACAGGAATTCTTGATGTGGGAAATAATTTTTCTTTGTTACAGTGAGTATTTGTAACTTTTAACAACAGTTCTCTTATTTTCCTCAGGAAAGGAGGATCACCAGTGTTTGGCCTTGATTATTTTATAAACCCTGTGGTGAATTCCTAAGTATATTCCCTTGATTTATAAAGACCCCCATTTTATTTCAGATGAGCCTGCTCACTGGTAAGGATGCCCCCTGGAGGTGCACTGCTAGCGGACATACTATGGACACACAGAAAATCCCAGCCTGCACCTTCCTCCAGAGCAGGAGCTTCCTACATGCTCATTTATAGGATTAGCAGAGAGAAATGACGTTAATAGAATTTGGCTAGAACAGACTAATAGGCAGAGGCTTTTGATCCTGTGTTAGTTTTTAAATTCAAAATTAATTCATAGAAGTCTCATGTATTTGCCCACTTAAATGAATGGAAAGTCAAAGACACAGAATATATTTCAGAATAGATGGTTTTGATTTGCCCGCAATTTCATTCTGAGACAACAGGACTAAATTGTTTTAAATTTTGAGAAAATGCAAAAAGAGATGTAAAATCACAGGCCTTTAAAAAGAAGAAAACTGGAACACTTGGACCTGTCATGTGTTGATGACCATTGTTTCCTCACTTGTTCCAGATCTCTAAGAGCAGGAGCCAAGGAGACCCCAAGTAGATCTGCCTCTTGCATACCATGCTGAGCTCACGTATTTTTCATAGAATTTGTTTTTGAGTCTGAGAAAGAAGAAACTGCCTGGAACTGCCCCATCTTTGGGGTGTAATGGAAATGGACATCAGATGTTAGAGAATCGAGGGGCCATGCACACCCATAATCTGTTGGTCTTGGGTTGGGCATCTTCTCCCCAGTCAGCCCACAAGGCTGCTGCAAAACAGTGGGAATTTTTTAACCAGGGGCAACCATTCTCCTTCTGCATTTAACAATCGGTAACAATTTATCAATTTATAAGATGCAATTAGGATCTTACAAACATTGTGATTAGAGGTAAAAAGTGATTAAGAAAATTTAAACATGAAATATTTGGAATTAGTCTCAAGAAAAAGCATTTTTTAACTAAAACAGATAAATTGAAGATCATATAATTACAAATATATGTTTCTAATTCTGACACCTCTCTGTCCCTATCATCACCTCCACGACTGCACAGTAACCACACATACTCACATACTGACTTTTATTTTTCAGTGCTGGGGATGGAACCCAGTGCCTTCTACGTGCTAGGCAAGTGCACTCAGTCACACTCTCAGCCCTGATTCTTTAAACGTGAACCCAGTGATTCTTCTTTTAGAGGTATAAATGAATAAAACATTTTATAAGAATTACCATGTTCACAGTTGTGCCTCATGAAATAGGAAGATAAAAAAATAAAATCACAGTGGGAGCATGTATAGAATTTCCCACCTGCTGATAAAGCCAACTCCAACATTGATGATTTAGGCCAGGGGAGGTACATGACTGTATTTCTGGTTTTTTTTTTTTGTGTGTGTGTGTGTGTTTCTAAAGCTCAGGCATCTGGAGCCTAGCTGACTGGGGAGAAGATGCCCCACCCAAGGCCAAGCAAGTCTTAGAGGAAGACTCTAAGGAGTGAATGTTTCATATACAAACCAAGTAATCCAGAGTTTGAACCAGGTCTTCTGTCTGGCTCTGGGGACCCAGGACCCAATATTTCGTTGCTTTAATCACCCTTGGGTCCAGGTACCAGACAATCAAAGACAGGCCCCATGCCTCAGAGCCCACTGAAATGATGGCAACTAGCCAGTCCAAGATCTGCTTGCCTTTCCACAGAACACATAATAAGAGATCTCACCCATGCTCCCCTCCCAACCCTGCTTCCTGACCCACCCTGTGTGCCTCCACATGGAATGCAGTTTCCAGGCAATTGTGAGGAAAACCTTCTTTCCTCCATCCTTTCTGTGTTTGTGTGTCTTACAATACTTGATTAAAATAATCCTGGGTACATTTTAAAGCAGGTGGACAAAACTTTCATTGAGAGACAGATACAAATATTTTAGACTCTGTAGGCCACACAGACTTAGTATTGAATACTCAATAGCATTAAAACAGGCATAAACAATACATATGTGAATGGGCATGAGGGTGTTCCAATAAAGAAATTATTTAGAAAACAGGCAGCAGCCAGATTTTGTTTTAGGGCCATCATTCGCTTACCTATGATTTAGACTGTGGAATGCTTTATTTTATTTTTTTTTATCACACTTCGATTTCTGAAAGACCTCAACTAGGAGAGACATAAACTTGATTCAGAAACTATTTAATTTGTTTTATTAAAAATCAATATATCTGTCTTGTAGACTTATTTTACTATGATAGATTCTTTTTATTTCTTGAAAATAATATCTGGTAAAATTTCAACAGAGCAGGTGCCAGTGACACTTATTAGGCCATGATTCTGTCAATTGCTCTAGAAGCCGAGAAGCAGGTCCTTCTAGTATTCTCACAGGAGGATAAGATAATGGCAAGGATGTTTGCTGCCCGCAAACATATGTTTGAGCAGGAACTTCCGTATTGGCACCTGCCTGGAACTATTGCTGCCTGAGAGGGACTAAGAGCTTAACTCTGTGAGTCTGAAGGCATGGACAGTCTGGAGGCCCTCGGGGAGAATGGAAGAACACACCTGTCAAAGTAGTCCCTCCTGAACCAGATCTAATGGCAGAAAGGAAGCAGACCTTGAGAACAATATAACAAGAAGCACAAGACAGTGCACAAGCCTCAGCATTCTTCCCCTAAACCTTCTCCAGGGATGCATAGGAGCAGAGGGGTGGGAATGGGTGAGGCTCCACAGGCTGGGGCTGGGGAGGGCATTCTGGTTGTGCCTTTGGTCTCCCCAGCAGAGCCCTGGCAGGTCACTGCCTCCCCCATTGTCACTGCAGTGTTGGTGAAGAGCTGCTCGAGCCAATGCCTGCTGAAGGATACTGCCAGGAAGAGGCACCAAAAACAGTGAGCACACATACCCTGACACACCCTGACAGCCTGGCAGTTACCAGAGAGTAGACAGCCCCTGGAAACAAGCCATTTCTTGAACAGTGATGCTGGGAGGTTCCCTGAGGAGAAAAGCCAACTATGGGGAAGACAGCAAGTAGGGAAAGTTTAGAGCCTGAATTAAAACATTCAAGGCTCAGCAATCCCAAGAGTGGGTATATATCCGAAGGAAAGGAAGTGAGTATGTTAAGACATTGCATTCCCATGAACACTGCAGCATAACAGTCAAGAAATGGAACAACCTAAGTGTCCACCAGTGGATGAATAGATAGAGAAAATCTAGTGCATATATGCAACAGAATACCATACAGCCATAAAAGAATGAGATTCTGTCATTTGTGACAACATGGATGAACTAGAGATCATTAAGTGAACTAAGTCAGACACAGAAAGGCAAATTCCACAATATCTCACTCAGGTGTAGAAGCAAAAACAACTGATCTTAAAGAAGTAGAGAGTAAAATAGTGGTTATCAGAGGCTAGGGGTTGGGGGCTGAAAGAAAGATAAACTGAGGTTGGTGATTGGCTACAAAATTACAGCAAGATTGGGTAATAAATTCTAGGGTTCCACAGCAAAAAAGGATTACTGTAGTTAATAATAATGTATTGTGTATTTCAAAAATAGCTAGAAGAAAGGATTTTGAATGTTTATAACACAAAGAAATGACAAATGTTTGAGATGATGGAAATGCTAATTACCCTGATTTGATCATAATACATTGTATATGTGTATTGAGATACCCTCCATACCCCATTAATACATATGAATATTATATGTCAATTTAAAATAAAAGAAAAAATTGAGGCTTTTTCACTTCAGTGCTTTTCTTTCACAGTCTCTTTCAGAGGAAGACTAGTCCAGAGCCCAATGCCTTTGCCTGAAGTATGCTGTGGGCTGATATGGCTGATAACCACAGGCACTAGGAGCTCACAAGGAAATGTGGGAAACATCTGATGAGTGCAAGCATGGTTAAGGGAAGTCCACAAATGGACCAAATTTAAAAATGAACCTCATAAACATGTTCAATGAGATAAAGAGAATATTCGAGTATGAAATGCTACTAATGACAAAGAACTAATTTGTAATGAAAAATGCAAATGTTGACTCAAAGTGGATGCATGTAGAAAATGAATTAGGAGGTCAGGATATCAGGGTCAAGCAAAGCTCTTAGCAGATATGAAATAAGAAGACAATGGAAGAAGGGTTGCAAAGAGTTCAAGGAAAATAATTTGAACTCAGAATTTTTATTCCACTAAACAAAAATGTAAGTCTATCAAGTAAATGTATACAGGCACTTAAGGCCTTAGGAGATTCACTAGGCCAAAACACTCTGGAAGTAGTCTTTGAGGAAATATTCTTTCAGCAACAGAGAAATGAAAATAGACATGTGTCTCTTGAGGACAAGGATATATTCTGAGGAATGCATCATAGGGTAAATTTTACAGAGTGTGCTTATAAGAGACACAGATGATATAAGACATTCTCTTGATGTGGCCGCCTGCAATCAAGAGACATGGTCAACACTACAAGTGTAATGCTGTTGCTAGTGTAACCCGGCACACTGTTTCACACTAAACTATATTTTTATAAGTAGGATCACACTCTAAAATAATGACAAAAAGGATACTATAGCGAAAACCAGTAACACACATTAACAGTCACCTGTTATTCTTTATGCTTTTCTTTTTTTTTGGCAGTGCTGGGGATTGAACATGGGTTTTGCCCATGCTAGGCAAATGCTCTACTGCTGAGCCACATACCTAGCCCATCATATTATCCTTCCTTATCAAGTAACATGTAATTTAATATCAAATATCAATACTTGGTAATGATAATTAATGCATCATACTTTTATATGACTGGCAGTGAAATAGCTCTGCTTACACCAGCATCACCACAAACACATGAATGATGTGCTACACTGTATTATTACATTGGCTGTGACATCAAAGGTGAGTGACAAGAAATTCTCAGCTCCATGATAAACTATGGGACCACCATTGTAGGTGTAGATTGTCGTCACCGAAATGTCAGTTTGTGACATGTGACTGCAAATATGAGCAAATGAAGAAGTTAATTACTTCTTTACAAAATATACAAAGGCAACAAAAAGAACCTAAATATGATTAAGGCCAAGTGGAGGTAGAAAGAGGGAAGGTAAGAACACATGGATACACATGTATTTTTCAGGGTAAAATATAGTCGTCAACAAGTTTTTTAAAATCATAAAAAGAAAACCTAAATACAGGTTTTAGTAGATTAGAGGTAATGTTCACCCAAGTAAAAATAGAATGCATACTTTTGAGAAGTAGAAAAAATTAGAAAGAAACAAAAGATAGAAAAGAGAAAAGCACATGAAAAAGCTTGTCAAATAAAACATAAAACGTAAAGAAATACAGATATGAAGAAATTGAAAACTAAATAAACTAATGGTAAACTAAGTGAATTAAATTCCATACTTGAAAGACAAAGACTCTTGAATAATACAAAAAATATGATGATAAATAATCTTCAAGAACTACATTTACTATGAAAAGATAAGAAAAGTTTGAAAATAACTTAGAAAATGACATTCTAGGCAAATATGAACCAACGGAAAGCAAGGGTAATAGTGTAATATCAACAAGAACCGATTAAAGGATAAAATCTTTACATGAGACAAAGTGTCAACTTATATACTGGTAAAATAAGAACGCTAGAGAAGATGATCTAACACTTATAAAAACATATGCATCTATCCATATAACCTCAAGAGAAATACAGAAAAAAGGATAAGATTAAGGGAGAAAAAAGATAATGCATATTATAATTTCTAACTCAATTGTGGTTTTTTTTTTTTAGACAACAGGGTAAGCAGACAAAAGAACAATCTAAGATAGCTTAGATAATGAAGCTGAACTACAGAAATGAAGACAACATTTACAATAATTTTGGAGGGTCTCCCTTAACATGAGAGGACAAAACTGAACCAATTAGGTAAATATTAAAGAAGAATTCAAAATAATTTTAGATGATATGATTTTTATATATCTAGAAAACCCAATTCATCCCCTGGAACTCGCTGTTAATATTAAGAGAATTTACATAGGTGACTGAATAAAAGATAAGTAAAAAATGAGTTGCTTTTTCTATACCTAGTCTTAACAGTAAATGAGTACATGAAGAAGTATAATAATGTTCTGGAATGGGAGAAAAATATCACAAATGCCAATTATTCTTAATCCATTTTGTCCCATTGTCTCAGGTGCAATATATCTATTAAAATCTAAATATATATGATATATAATCACTCAAAAGAATAAAATTATATATTATTTATGATATAATAATATTAACTAATACAATACTGAAGGTAAGCTCTAGCTTATTATTTGTAAGTTATTTTAATGCACCTGTATCATTTTGTTACAATGTTAGTAGAATTAAAAGCTTGGGACTTAAGGGTTAAAATAAAATAAAATTTTATTTTAAAAACCAAACTGCCTAACAAACAAATTCAATTTCAATCACACTTGCAAATTCAAGGTTTATATGGCAGAAAACACATGCAAAAATAGTGAAAATTTTTGAAAAATCAATAAATAGGTTTGCTTTAGCATAGAGTGATACTATATAAAACTATAAGTTAGAGGTAACAAGCTGGGCAAGACACATGGGTGAACAGGACAGAGTCCTGGAACAGATTCTGGTATATTTGGTAATTTAATATATGGAATAGTTGTCATTTCAGTTCAGTGGATAAAGGATGCTTTGTTCAATAAAGATGCTTGAATAATTCAATCTCATTCCAGAAGAAATCAGAACAAAATCCTCTGCTATTATTTATAGAAATTTCAAACTGATGAAAAGACCTGAAGAATGAAATTTGAAAACAAACATTATTGGACAACGTTGTGGTGACTTTATATTCCAGGAGACTTTCTAAAGCAAGAGAGGAGCTCTCTATCCATGAATATATAATAATGTAAACATTCTGAATGCCAAAGAGTTCTGTAAACAAAGTCATAAGGCAAGTGATCCTGTGGGACACACACATATAAATACATATGTGTTGCAGGCTTCATTGAAGAGAAAGCTACAAGTTGATAAGGAAAAGCAAACCAATCAAAGGAAAAATGGACTAGATATGCAAACAGGTAGGATGCATAATGGAAAACCAAACTGCCTAACAGACAAATTTTGAGATTAAGCTTAAAATAAGACACCACTTTTCACCCTTGAGAACAGAAACACAGGTAAAACCATAGCAATAACTTCCAGTGCTGGCTAGCATGAGGGAGACACTCAAATTCACACACAGCAAGCCTAAATGTTTTTAGAAAGAAATCCTAATATTATTAAGCTAAAAACATACATATGTTTGTATGCCTGCCTACACTGGAATGCTAACCTACAGATAGAAAAACATCAGCATGGACTGAGGAGATAGCTCGGTTGATAGAGTGCTTGCCTAGCACACAGGCCCTGCGTTCAATCCCCAGCACCACCACCACCACAAAAAAAAAAAAAAAAAAAGCTTACCAGCATATAAGATTTACAGGTATAAAGCTAGTTATTTACACATTGCTTATAGAGGTGAAAATGGATGACAACAACAACAAAAAACCCAAATGAAAACCTGGATAACCATTTTATAGGTCTAAAAATTATACTACAGAGTAAAATTTAGCTATTAAAAGAATATGTTCATGATTTATTGCTCAGGAAATAATCACTTCGCAGTATACGATATGCATTTTACTCTGATGTGTTTGCCTTTTGAACATACCTAGCAGACCTGGATGATCAGTAGTTATTACTCTGGTAAGATTTGGGAATTAGGAGAAGAAAAAGTTTCCTTTTATATTGCCATATTCTTCCTTTGTTACAATAAGCATATCTTACTGTTGTAATGAAAAAAAAAAAAGAATAATAGAGAAGTTGAAGCACAGGGAACAAGGAACATGATGTTGAACAGAGTTGAAGACCAAGCTGCTTGGGATATAATTGAAAGAACTACAGATGTTTGGTCTGGAAAAATCAGGACTCTAGGAGGAATGCTAGTCTTCAATCTCTTAAAAGACTTGTTTTTCAAAGGAAAGGAATTGGATTCACATTCCTGCTTTTGGAGGCAGAGGTAACAGCTGTGGATGTATGCTGTGAAGACATTTCAGCCTACCGTGAGGAAGGATGTACTGAGGGTCCAATTTATTTGCAGCAGGGAACTGATGATCTGGCTATTCTTTGGAACCCCAATCTACCTGCAAACCATGGTGCACCACTCCAGGCAGCTGTACCTTGGGCAATGTCGTCCTGCCTCTGCAGGCAGGGCCGCTCCACCTTGTGCCCAGGCTGGGGCAGCTCCCGCTCAGGCTGCTTGGGGCACCTCCCTTCATTGAACACATGTGGCAGGTTGGCTGTGTGCACCTGTCGGAGTTGCTCATAGTCGCTTAGAGCAGCTGTCAGGTCCCAGTTTTTGCCTATGGATTAGAATGACAAGAATTATTATTAAGCCTATTAATGCATGAATAATGATATCAGTGAAGAAAAGAACCATGGCAAGAAAGGGTGCCCATTAGTGCATTAACTAATGACCTTCTCACCAGTAGTTCTCATTTTTCAAGGGGGTAATTGTCTTCTGCAGTCTTTGAAAGTAGAATTTTTTACCCACAAATAATGACCTGAAATATGTGAATTTCTAGTCTCTAGTCTCATCTCCCCCGCCCCACACACATTATGTGCCTAATTATCCTATCCTATCCCCCTTTGAAAATGGCAAGGAAGAACATCAAAGTGGCATGGCGTTGATTTGAGACACTTACAATGGAATCTGGAGGACTTGTTAAGCCACATACTAGGCACATACCCACACAGATAGATGCTGACCTTGGGGGCTGTGCTGGACCAGGACTCTGGAAGGAAGTTCACTAGCCTTTGTAATAGTTGTGAACTCTCCACCACCCTGCCAGAGGCTGAGATCCTGTCCTATCCTTCTCTTAAAAACTCTTTTCACACCAGTCATGATTCCTGACAAAGTGAGGTAATTAATGCCCCATTTTGCATTCTAAGTTATAAAAGGAGCTCCAATATTCTAAAACCTTGGAGCATATTTTGAAGGCTACAAATTTGGTGTCTCCCATTGCAACCCTAATAAACCCCAAATAAATGTAATTTTTCTTAATTAACTACCTTGATTTTCTCTTAGTTGGGAGGAATAAAGCATAAAGTAAAAAAGAAAATAAAAAGAAACAGAATCCCAAAGTTTCTTTGTTTTTTTTCTATTATTATTATTATTAATTTTAACCTTAACATGGGAAAAGCAGCAGCTTGGGAGATATTCCGATCTTAACAGCCTTAGTCACAGGCTGTGTGTGGGGAGAGATGTCCAGTTTAGTGCACAGGCTCACAAATCACAGTCCCTGCCCACCAGGTGCTGCATTGACACTTCACAGTGTCTATAAAAATGGTAAAAGGTGGAAAGTAGAATCATTTGCAGTTGTCTCAGCTGTAATACATGGGAATACAAAGACAACGTTGAAAGTTGACATAGCAAATATACATGAAAGCGTGTTTAATGGTACAAAGCCAACAGTAAAATGGAGAAAAGATATTCTACTGATTTAAGAAGGGATTGTAGGAGAGAGAGAGTGAGGAGGGTATAGAAAGAAGACACAAACCCATTTCATTGAAGAATATCATAGAGAATGAATTAATATGTCTAAAAAAAGGAAATAGTATATTATGTAGACTTTTAGAAAGTAAACATTATTAATAAACAATTTTTCTAAATAGCAGAAAAATATTTTTACATAAAAAGCTAAGAGAACATGAAAGACATTTGAAATATTTTTATTGGTGCATTATAATTACAAACAATAGCGGGATTTGTTCCTACCTATTTGTACATGCACACAATATAACAATATAATTTGGTTAATTTCATTCCCTAATATCTCCCTTTCCTATTCTTACTCCTCTCTTCTGGTCCCCTTCTTCTACTCTATCATTCTCCCTTCTATTTTCAAGAGATCCTTCCCCTACCACCTTTTTTTTTTTTTGAAATATTTACATATAGAAATAGAGAATATAATACAACTAGACAAATAGCAATAAATTAAAGTAGGCTTAACATAACTATTCAAAGAAAAAGATGTTCACATAATCTCAGGAAGGAAAGACTAGCTTTTGCTACATATAAGAGACACATCTAGAGCAAAGTGACTTAGAAAGGTGACATCCAAAAGTGATGCTCATTGGTTTATCAGATCTACCAGACAGAGACAAAAACACCACCGGAGAGAGCATCCTCTTGTACCAACATTGGAGGATTCAGTTCCCAAAGCATTAATGAAAATGGAGAAAGCAATTTTATAAGGCTTAAGGTTCAATTTACAATAAAGATGTGTTAGTCATGTCTTTTATTTTCTGAACTTTATAATGCTTTTACATCTTGGAGTCTTGTTGACAGGGAGAATGTCCCCTCCAGGGTCAGTTAATTCCTAAAGATAGAAAGAGACTCCTCTGCAGGCCTGTGAACTTTTTATAGACAACAATCAATCCAAAGCCCACAATCCCTAATTGGGCTCCTTTATTGGTCTGTTCCATTCTTGTCCGATATTCCCTGGCTCTAATCACCCAAGGGCCAGGTACCAACAACATGAACAGTTCTACCCTTGGAACCTGCTGAAATTATTAGACTAGCTGATTCTAAACCTGCGTATCCTGCCTTGCCCATTCCTCCCCACAGAAACCATTAAAATGGCTTTGTCTATGTTTTACCTTTACTCCCTCTTCCTCCTGACAGACCCTGGTGCTTCCCTGTGTGGCCCTGCATGATATGCTGTGCCTCCTGCTTCTAGGGAAAACTTCCTTTATGATACTTACTTCAGTATCTGCATATCTAATTAAAACAAATTTCAGGTATATATGCAAACAGAAGACATGTGAGGTATTAAGAAGTAAAAATTACCAGAAGACTCTGAGATAAACACACTGACATATACCTGTTACAGAGAGAATGTCATAGATAGCAGGACAGATTTTTTTTTTTCCAGTGCTGGGTATGGAACCCAGGGCCTTGCACACATTAGGCAAGTGGTCTACCACTGAGTTACACCCCCAGGGTACAGGATAGATTCCAATGCAGTCACAATCAACCTCCAAAACCTGGGGGCAAAACGACAAAGGATTCATCTTTTCTTGTGCTCCCCATTTACCATGCACTGGCCTAGCTCTGTGCCACCTTCTCACTTCAGGATTCAGGGTGATAGGGTGACCATTCTTCACTATGGCCTATCTTTTTGGAAGAGGGACAAAAAGCCAGAGAACATATCTTACCAATAGGAGCACTCTTGTCCAGAAGTGACATCACTTCTCTAATAATCCATGACTAGAACTCATCACAGGGTCCTATCTAACCCTGGGGGCCAGGAAGGATGTCCTTCCATGTGCCCATAAGGGGTAGTCACAGAGTAGGACAGTCTATGAACAGTACTGATGATAAATACATTGGATATAAAATTAATATATTTGAATAAAAAGGCCTTAATATATCAACATAATTGAAGAGAATAGTTTGTTCATAGTGGCAAAGATAAAACATTGAAGAATAAATTTAAATGTATAAAACACATATGGGGACACTCATAATACTTCTGAAAGGCAGAAAAGTAAAACTGCATGTGCTGTGTCCTTAGTTTTTTTTTTTTTTTGGGGGGGATGGGGGTTGTACTAGGATTTATTGAATAATGAATTCCAGGTCTGCCAGGTTTCCTTACTTGCACTGCTGCTTTGGTTCACCTTTATCCTTAGTAACATCCTAACAGGCGAAGACTTTGCTGCTGAATCCCCAACCTGCCCATCCCTGGACCTAGACTTCCCTCTACCTCATTTCCAAATAAGCACTCAGTAACTTGAAGCCACAGGAAGCCCTCAGGGCAAAAGCAGCTGTGCTTGCAGTCACCTTTCAGGTGAGGGCCAGGAGACACTGTCACTTCTACCATCTCCCTTAGTAGAAACAGAGGAGGATGAGACATAGGCAAAGTCATTTGGGGCTTTTATGTAAATCTTAAATCCTGAATTAAGAGTGCTCACTGTCTCTGAGAACCAAAACAAACCTACCTGCCCACTCAGGTTCCCAACATGAAGATACCTTTCTCTCTGCACTTCCCAGATGCTTCTAATAGGAATGTCCTGGAGGAGACAGTGCCACTGCATGGGTGGATCCTGGACAGTATGCAGCATAATGGAGGCCATGGTCTCCTCCTCTGCTTGGCTAGACATCCTCATTGCCTTGGCTGAAACGTGACCTTTGCCTCCTTGGAACCCTGGAACCCCCGTCAAGGAGGTTAAGGAGCAGGCCACAGTGGGAGAAAGGCTAGTGTGGAGAGTGTCCAGTGTGGCCCTGGGAAGGCCCGGGAAGGTGGAATCAGGCAGAAGGCGGACAAACAAGCAGCCCAGGTACTTCTGGGGGATAGGCAGGACCTGTGCCAGCGTCTCACCCCTCTGGGATAAAGGGCCGAATCAGTTCTGGATCCAACAGCGACTCCTCAAGAGGCCGGTCCACATGGAAGTCATGGACATGAGGAGGTCCCGGGTAGGCCTTAGGAGCAGGCCCCCCTGGGCGTGGGGAATTGGCAGCTCAAATGGGTGGACAGGAAGGGGAGCTGTGAAGAAGTATTGATGCAGGAGAGCCTGGGAGGCTGCAATGTGCTGGAAAGGAGGGTAGAGGAGGAACTGACCCAGCAGGTCCAAGGCCTGAAGAGAGGCGTCTGACAGGACCTCCTCCAGGGGCACTGGCGCCTGTTCCTTAAAGGAGATCTTGTTGTAGTCTGGCAGCTCTGTGATCTCTGGCCAGACTTGAGGGCTAGGGGTGCCCAAGATGCGAAGCACACAGCAAAGCTGTTCAATGTCGTTCTCTCCGGGGAAAAGAGGGGACCCATTCAATAGCTCCCCCATGATGCAGCCCACAGCCCATAGGTCAACGCCCTGGTCATATTGGCGGGCACCATACAGGAGCTCAGGGGCTCGGTACCACCTGGTAGCCACCTGGTGTGTGTAGAGGCGGCTGCCATCAGGAGAAAAGACCCAGGCCAGACCAAAGTCTGCTATCTTGAACTGGCCTGAAGCATTGATGAGCAGATTGGCAGTTTTCAGATCCCGATGCACAATGTTGTTGGCATGGCAGAAGGCCACACCCTTGAGCAGCATTTGCAGGTAGCTCTTGACCTGTGCTGGAGCCAGCGGCCTCTGGGCATGCACACCACCTCTTCCAGGTCTGACAGCATGAACTCGAAGGCCAGCACGAAGCCTGCACCATGCGGGAACACGGCCTTCAGCTGCACCACATACTGATTTTCCTCAATTTCCTGCAAAGCCTTGATCTCCTGCAGGGCCTGGTTGGGGATGCCATCCTCTAGCCACCGCAGGGCCACCTTCTTGAGGGCAACAATCTCGCCAGTCTCTATGTGCTTGGCCTTGAAGATGACGCCGTGGGCGCCCTCCCCGATGCGGCCCAGGATGTAGTACTGGTCCATCAGCCCTTAGTTTTTAAGCCTCAATATCATAACCTCTTCTTGAGCTAACATATATTTAATATGATTCCAACATAAATAGTATTTTTCTTTAGAATCAGACATGCTGATTTTAATGTTCATTTGGAAAAATAAGCGAAAATAACCAGGTAATGTTTGAAAAAGAAGAGCAAAGAGAGGAGATGGACGCTCCCAGACATTGAAGCTCACTCTGCCGCCTCAGTACCTGGTCTATCCCTCAGGATCGGACATAAGGGAGCTACTGAAGAGCCCCAGAGACTCAATTACATGCAGAATGTCAAAAGACAAACGCTGATGGGGACAAATATTTGTAACTCATATCACATACAAGAGGCTTATTTCTGAAGTAGGTCAGTTCCCAGAAAAATCTATGGAGGAAATTCACAGACAGGAAGCTCGTGGGAGGTGAAGTTGGCAATGGCTGCTGACCCACAGGGACATGCAGAGCCTCTGCCAAGTTTATGGGCAGTGCAGAGCGGGGATGGCTCCTCACCTGGGTCCACACAGAGACATGAGTTTCTAGCATTTGCACCAGATGAGAAACAGTATCTGAGATGGTTATAATCCCAGGGAGAACCTTGGGCCAGGTGACTTCTTTGGGGGAAAATGCTGATGAGGGACTGAACTGTGAGCCATCAGCAACACCTCTCCCAACTCAGGCTGGGAGGCCTGGGTTCCTCAATGAGGGATCTGAGCTCTGGAGAAAACATTACAATTCCTGCTTTTGTGAGTGTGTATGTGTGTGTTTTGTCCAGAAACAAACAAATAAAAATTAACAAAATCTTTGATTTTGAAATAATTTGAATGAATTAGCTATCTAAAATCAATAGTTAAAAAAAAGTTTTAAAACTTAAAAATAAGGTTAAGATCCTAAGTATATTAGGCATAATAGAATGGGAACTTTTTCATAATATTGAGTTGGACACATTGCCAGAGCAAAGAGAGGAGATGGACGCTCCCAGACACTGAAGCTCACTCTGCCGCCTCAATACCTGATCTATGCACAAAAACTTCATCTGTATATTTTTTCAGGCAACAATTTTGGATTCTATATCTGTTAAATACAGACAAAGAGTTCATGGAAAAATAACAAATGGCCCCTAAACACAGAAAAGATGCTTATAATTTCATCCACTAAAAGATATGCAAATTACAAATACATGGAAAAACCATTTTACAGATACCTAAATGGCAAAAAGCAATAGTTGGCAACCCACCTGGTTACCAGTCTGGATAAACAGGCTTGCGCATCCACTTGCTGGTGGCAATGCACATTATAAATCCTTAGTATTCATCAAAGATATAGATGCTTTTATCCATGGCCCAGAAATTCAATTTCTGGGAATTTATCCTACAGAAATACCTGTATATATGTATACATGAAAATGAAGTATGTGCAATGTCACTGTAGCATTGTTTATAATGGAAAATAATGGAAATAAGCCAAGTGCCTATCTACAGAAAGAATATTTAAGTACACTGGAGTATGTGCTTCCTGACACAGTGTTATGCTAGTGTATGAAAGAATGAGGAAGCTGCATGGAAGGATAGCTAGCCTACATTAAGGAGTAAAAATATTTATAATCTTACCTTGGAGTAAAGACAGAAATATGTACATATTCATTTTATACACACATACACACACAACACATAAATATACATATGCATGCATATGTATATGTGTATATATATATTTGTTAATATCTGTATTTGTAAATGTATATACACACATGTATAGATATTTATATTTGCACATGCAAATGCTGGAAGAGTAAATAAGAAAGCAACACAGGTGGTGACCCAGGGGTCAGAGAACAGTGGGCACACAGGACAAAAAGAGGGCAGTATTTTCAATGTCTTCTTTTGATTTTGAAACATTTTAAATGAATTAGCTATCTAAAACCAATAGTAAAAAAAAAGTTTTAAAACTTAAAAATGAGGAAGGTTTAAAATTTCAAGTATATTAGGTATAATAGAACGGGAACTTTTTCATAATATTGAGTTGGTCACATTGCCAGAAATAAAAAACAAACAAACAAACAAAAACTTCATCCATATATTTTTTTCAGCAACAATTTTGGATTCTATAGCTGTTAAATACAGACAGAAATACAAAGAACCAGTTGAAATAATTGATCTCTAAATCAGCTGATATTGATAATGTTAATACTAATTAGCTTATTTTTATAGAAATATGGAAAAAGAAATTATCCCAAAGTTTGCCCAAACTAATCTTCCAGTAGGTCCTAGGCTACTGCATGCTTGTGTATTCTGAACTGAAATGAGGTTACTGATGTTTTGTTTAAGAATTTTTAATAGAGAACACTTAAAAATTATTGGTGTCATTTTGTATTCCATGGCCAAATCTAGTGGTTAGTGTATGCAGTATATGTGGAAGGACAAGAGATTTGTGTTTGCTCTTTGACCCTCTATAATATAGATTTTGTGCACATCACTCTACTGACCAGTTATTTTCAAGACTTCTATATAGTAAATCCAAGGTCTTGGCTGCCATTCAATATAGCTAACTTCTACTACCTTTTTGATTCACTCTCTTCTTACTTATTCCAAGACAGCACCCTCTCCTAATCATCCTCTTATGTCAAAAGGCTGCTCTAGTACTTTCTATTTAATAGTGTCTCCTCCTCTTTCACCTCTGGATGTTGTCATTCCTTAGAGCTCAGATCTGGACCAGATTCTATTGTGAAGCATTTGAAAGCATTTTTTTTAAATGTCTGACTTAAAAGCATGCATATTAAGGAGAACAGCTGACTTGTGCTGTTCGTCCCCATGGTTACTACCTTGAAAGTTGACATGGTACCTGGAGCTGTGGCAACCATCTTGTAAACATGAAGTAACAAACATGGTCTGCTAGGCCACTAGCCAAGAACAGTTTGAATGAAAACGAATAAAAAACTTGAATAAGAGTCTGGATGAATTCCTGGCAGTAGTCACCTCTTCTTTTATTGTCAGAAAAGAAATATGTATGTATGTATGTATATGCACGTGCGCGCACACACACACACACGCACACATTCAGATGCATCAAAATCTACCTGATCATTTAAAAAGAACTAGTGTACATATGTAATAGATTTGGGGAGATTTCAGGGAAGGACTGCTGAGTAAGAAGGGTAGTATGCTGCAAAATATGCTCAGTGCAATCCAGTCTAGCAAATCACAGTGAACCCAGTCCTGTTTGACCCATGCTATGTCCTACCATGGTCAATTTTGTACAATTGAAGCATTTATCTAACCCCATCCCCTATCTCTACTTGCTGGCAGCTGACTCTTCCCAGAATCCTCTGCCCCTCAATTTATTTCCAGTGACACCCTCCAGCAAGGGATACTAGTGCAAGATCTGGAATGTGGAAGAGGACAGGCTGCTTTTCTATGGAAGCAGTTGCAAGCACATACCTGGGCAAAGAGCAGAAATGAGATTTGATGTAGGTTCCAGCAAACTCCTGTGAAACATCTGCTTTGGGAATCTAAGCCACTGAGACAGTGGTGGTAGAGGTGTCCCTTGGGACTCCCAAGGATTCCTTAATTACCAGTGAATGCCAGTGAACTTTCTGTTGGTAGCAAGGCTTTTCCATATTCCTGTATTTTCCCTGGTTGTGAAAACCTCAAGTTCCCCTTTCTCCTTGGAAGACCTAGAGCAGCTTCTATTTCCTTGAACAAATGCTGATGAATATAGAACATGGTTCTGTAAATGGTTTCAGAAACACAGAGATGAGATGAGATCCCTGATGATGGAAAGAATGGCATAGGACTTGCCCTTCTGGAAAGGAAAAAGGGTGAGATGGGCTTTTATCTGAGCTCCAGACTTGGCTGTGGAGCCAGAGTTTCCTTGACCTCCCTTAAGGAACCGCTTAGCTCTTCCAGCTATGGTGGCATTGATTCCAAAAGCTGAAATTTTTGATATTGCAAGTTGCAGAATCATACAAGTTGAACTCAAAGCCTGTCTAGATCTCCTGTGAACACAGTAGGACCATGATCAAGACAGCTGGATGGGATCCCAAGAATGTTTAGGTTGGTTCTGAGCAACCTGAAGACCTCAAATCCTTATCATCCTGAGTCCCTCTGGATGAGCAGAAGAGTCCCTCATCACTTGCTGAGGCTAGCGTCTCCTTGTCTGAAGGCCTGGTAAGGACCACATCCGAGCAGATGTACGATGGGAAGATAATCAAGTCACCTTAAAACCTAGCATATATATATATATTTTGGTTACCAGATCCATAACTAGGAAGACAGGAAATATCAGACACATTGAAAGAATACCAAGTTTTTTTTTTCCAGTAAAAATATGAAAAATGTATAGGAGTAGATTTACAAATGTTAAACCAGGACTTTTCCTGCATAGCACCAGTAGAAACTAAAGCTGAGCCCTTTAGATATAAAGTTCTGGGTGCTGGCAGGGGGTGGGGGGGTGGCAGACGCAGTGGATGAAAATGTTACACACTTGTCACCAGATTCTTCAAAGGGCAGAGTTCCAGATCATGAGAGTTTATTTATTTATTGCTTAGTTACTTATCTAGGGTATACATGAATCCCTTGTGCCCCTTTCCCGTCTTTGCCATAGGACATAAGGTAGACAAGCAGGGATGGAGTTGTTAATTTACAGCTCTGTTTACCAGAGTTGGGCTATGATCAAGCCAGGTGAGGAAGGAACAAAACTCAAAAAGGATTTAGTGACTTTTGGGACTCTGTATTTTCCCTTTTTAGTGAAAAGTGGGTGCATCTATGGGGGTTAGTGAGATATGAGGTCATTGCTCTTGCTTGCTAGTGTAAATATGGGTCCAAGGATATGGATGGATAAGAACATGACAAAAAGTGGGGGTAGCGCTAGAGAGCCTCTTACCAACTGGACCATTGTCCTTCCTGTGTCCTCCCCTTACCCCATTCTCCTCTGTGTAATTCAGGAGAAGCCTGGAATGGAACTTCCCAGATTGGTTTCCTGATAAGTTCCAGTTTTTAAATGA